TCATCACTGAGTGATCCGAACTCGCGACAGGGGAAGCAAACTCAGACATCACAACACGTACCTTTACGTAGCATTTAGAGGAGATCGTCTCACCGTAGCTATCATTCTGATCAAAAGACTTGTTCAATGGCATTAAAACGAGAAAGAACGCGGCTGAATCGGTTAATCCATAGGTTGATAATGTTTCTGGGTAATCTTTTTTAAAATTTATAATCCATAATTCCATTTTTATGTAAAAATCGGAGAGTAAAAGTTAGCTGCTAATGGTAGCCACCAGAGTTATCGCAGCTTCCGGTCTTGGCTATGTGGCAGTCTCACACACACACACATTACGAAATAAGGAGTATGTGGGAGTTCCCCTCGATTCCATTGGCTCTGACGGTTAGAAAGAGATGTCAATCAGCAAAATCGAACAACAAGAGATAGGTCAGGACCCCAGAAGTGGTTTTTTTGTTGCTAAATCTCTCTAAAAAGGTCGTATTTCACTTGTTTTGCATCAATCTGGATACAGGGTAATTATTATATGTTGTAGTTTGGATTCCTAAAGCTTTTAGTCTACCATCCCATCATTCAAGGGTGGTTTTCACTATAAGTAATTTTTCTTTTTGGACGGACACAATCTTTTTTTTTTTTTTACTGTGTTCAATCTGAATTTACTTTAAAATAAAAACATCTATATTGATTCTGACACTTCTACATCCAACTCACAGATGTAACCTTGCTTTGAGAAAAAAGATTATTAATTTAACCCTTTTAGAAGGGAAGATATGGTCATTTGTTCTTGGAATGTCATTTTCGAGCCTGAGACCTGAAAAACAGGCTCGGGGCTTAACAGGTTAAATACATGAGGAGAGGTCCTGCCTTCCAGCATCAGGGGAGAGAAGGTCAGCCAGTGCCTGCTGAGGACTGTCTGCTGTCCGGAGGTTCAGTGGAGCAGCCACATGGAAGGCCTCTCTTTTCTGAGCTTATTCTTTATTATTTACCAATCATTATAGCCTGTGAGTGATAGTGTATGCTTACCGCATTTTACAGAACTTTATAATCAGGTGACCAATCACATTGTTTCCTGTTGTGAGCAGGAATAAACGTTAAAAGGGTTACAGGCAGTGTTTCTCCTGGACTGCCTGCAGCTGCTGCAACAACACTGTGGCTCCTCCATGTAGAATGGGACCATTTCTAAACATGTTTAGCTTCTCTGTACTGTTCTCTCTACTCCCTGTAGTAGAACGCCATATGAGGGGGGTGTGATCACTTGTCAGAAAAATAATAATAAACTCGTCCTCTTTTAACCTTCCACGCTCCTCACTATCCGTAGTAGCAGACTACTACTGGGGGGGGGGGTTGAATATGTTAGTCTAGGCTAGAATCTATGTTCCCCGCCGTGGCTCTGAAACACCTGAAAGCTAACTGAGTATTGATGAATCCTTGGTGCAGAACTTTTCAGTTTTCTTGGAGTGCTGCTCCAGTTTAATTCGGTATCTAGATTTAGAACTATTCACTGGAGGAGGGTCAACCAAATCCAGTAGTGAGCAGCTGTCATTTTCACATATGAAATGCATTGCATTTAAGGATTGTTGTGCAATCAAATGTGTTTGTTCCATCAGGTCATATTTGACGCACCATATGAATATGAACTCATCGCAGTAAATGAAATAACATTTATGGAGAGTAAATATAACACACGTTATCATAACTAGGGAGTGATTTTGAACACATGCTTTAGCCATGGATGTCAAGCTGACAGCTCAGATTAGAAACTGTTAGTACAGTTGGTGTCAGCCAGCGTGCCTAAACACGTCTCCATGACTTTATTGTGAGATTATACTGAAGCGCTTTCCCTTTCTGTTTTTGATTTCTGCCATCACCTCACCACAACACATGTGTGTTTCCTCAGTTCTCTGGTGTGTGTGTGTGTGTGTGTGTGTGTGTGTGTGTGTGTGTGTGTGTGTGTGTGTGTGTGTGTGTGTGTGTGTGTGTGTTTGTTACCTTCTCATCATCGCTGCAGCAGCAGTGGATAAGCACCAGGAGGACCAGCAGCAGAACCATGCCTGAAAACAGAACCACGATCAGACAGTGTTCAGCAGAAAGAAAGGATCTTGTTTGTTCTAACTTCATTTACCCACGTTACCTTTTGGTTACACATGACATGAGGATTTTGCACAGGCTGACGTTTCTTTTCCTCTGTTGCTCAGGAGATAATCAACTTATTCATACAGATATTTGCAGAGGGCACTGCAGTATTCAGTTTGAAGGTTCCTCTCATGTTCTGTTCAGTGGCCAGACAGGGCCATTACTGCAATACAATGATTTTACAATGAGACATTGCTGTTCCGTGTTCAGTTTAATACTTTATTAAGAGGAAACTAACTGTCTGATTGTATTTGCCTCATTGATGTTCTGAAAAGTTCTGATCCTGAACTGGACCCATGTCTGTTTCTGTTTGCCCGAAAAACACCTTAGTCACTTTGTGCAAACACGTTTATCTTTGTATCCAAGCGTCATTGTACAGAGCTTTACTGCAATGATGAGCATCAGACATAATGACGTTAGCTTCAGATCAAGTTTGCTTCTTAAATTGTGAACAAAAAATGTCTCCAGTGAAAATGTCAGACTAGTCATCAGGAGGGGAAGAGCTCAGATACACCACGGTGAGAGAATACACCTATTGTATTAGTAATAATACTACTTCACTTCTAAAGAGTACCCATGCAGAGATGCTCATTTCAGAATAATATATATCATATTTTTGGATACGAATCATTGACCGTTGCAGCTAGTGAAGGTGGAGCTCATTTTGAATATTTCTTCTTCTTATATAAATGTATTTGATTAGTTTATATGTTGCATTCATAATCTTAATCTGTAAAGTAACTACATGTATCAGATAAAGGCAGTGTAGATAAATGACACAAAATTGGGTAGGGGAAAAGTCCAAATGTATTTTGTATCAATCAAACATGCTCAAACCTCTTGTCTTCGCCACCACTCACCGATGAAGATGAAGAAGATTGTGAAGGAGGCGATGTCCCAGTCCGACTGGAAGACCTTCCCCTGCAGTCTGGAAACCACCCGACCCCACTGATCCTCCAGATCCTGATGCAGCTCTCTGTGCTCCATCTGCGCGCGCGCACACGCACACGCACACGCACACGCACACACGCACACACACACACACTTTTGTACTTTAAAAAACTGTAACTTTGGGTGATACCAACTTTATTTGATTGACTGCTGAAACTCAGACACGTTTCATCATATGCTACTGTTACATAACTGAATTCAGGTTACTAATTGTACTTTATTAATGGTATAAGATAGTTTCTGTGAGGACAAGGTTTAAGATTGTACTTGTTTGTTCCAGCTTGTTGTGATAAACTTGAGCTAAATGTGTTTATTCTAAATTAATGTGATTTAGTTACTTTACAGATGTGGATGAATGATGTGAAATATAATCAAGTGTTGAATCAGACTTTAGTTCCACCTGGAGTAAATCCACAAGCTACCCTGCAGTATACAAAGTCATTTAAACTAGCTGCACCTTTACCAGCTTTGAGAACACTTTCATGATCAATCATTATAAAACATATCATATATATTATTCTGAAATGGACCAATCTGCACAATCACTGGGGGGCATTAGTTACCATGGCGACCCAGCCCGGAATGAACAGCACATCCTGCTCCGCACACACACATTACACATTATTAGGAGGCTACAATTCTCTGTCTACAGGTTAGAAGCCTACTCCATTCACTAAAAAGCTTTAAAAGATGACGTTTGATCAAACTGATAACATTTGATAAATAATAAATTAAGAAATCATCTTTTAATTCGGAGCACCAGGTGACTCACCTGTACTCGGAGTTGTGTGTTGTTCTGTCCTTCTTCCGGGTCCAAAGGTGTGTGTGGTCACCTGACACACGTTCACACATACATCTCCAACACTCACATTCACACTAGGCTTGTTTGAGACGCGTTGCGGCTCGCCTCGAAAGTAGACGAGAATAGCCGAACGAGCACGTGACGGTCAACGCACGTTCACATGAATGAGCACGTGACGGAGAATTTAAAAAAGATAGTCTTTTATGTCTTTTATATGTATATTAAACAACACTGTTAATTTAGTTTTGGGTATGTTTTTGTTAAAAGAAAACACTGTTAAACACTGTTCCTTCTACAGTATCATAATTCTCGTTTCATTTCATTATTAATAAATCAAAGGTGTCTTCGAAGAGGTGCTAGATTACTGAAAAACAACTGTTAGTGTGTTCATGCACCAGCCTGCAAAAGATAAACAAGCAGTTTGACCGAGAGGCATTTCAGTTCAGAATACATTTTTATTTATTGAATGATACGATTACAGAGTACGCTTTAAATCGGATTGGTCAGTCACTGGGGCTGAGGCGGGTTCTGTTGTTTCTTCACTGGGGGTGAGGCGGGGTCTGCTGTTCCCTCTCCAGGGAGATAACCTGTCGTGGTACTCTGAATATTGGCTGAAGGGTTCCCTCCAGCAAGCTTCT